GTAGGACTTTTTTTTGAGGTGACCAAACTCAGAGGGCTCTGTGATTCAACAAATGTTAAGAACCACTGTAGTGTCTGTTGGTAGGGAGGTGGCTGGGGACAGTTCCCCAGAGGGAAAAATGTGGTACAAGCATCGTTAGTGCCCAGTAAGGAGCCTCCAGAGACAGTTGAAGGAGGTGGAGGAGAAAGACGAATTGGGGAAAAGGCAATGGGTTCAGAGGGAACTGGTAGGAGGGGTGTCCCATCTTCCCTTGTTCTCCACCCTCTTTCTAGTAGGCTTTTCTTTGTGTTCTCCATGTTCTGACAATTATAGGATCCAGTTACCCTTCAATTTAACTCACAACATTATGTCATGAAATTCCTTGTTGAAACTGAAGTGCACAGAGTGGAGTCAATCCCTCTCTCCACCATGGGCTGTTAGCATCTTTGCTTCCTGTCAGGCCCCTTTATAATGCATTTTATTTTCCCCTTTCATCATGATGTCTATTCTCATTTCCCATCCTCACTGGAGGCACTTGCGTTAGTGTATTTAACAAATGCTCTTACAATCCATGCTCTATATGTGTATTTAGATACATTCATTCACTTTACAAATACACAGTTGTAGTGTGGGGAATATAGCCAAGAGCAAAACAATAAAAATGCCCTGCTTTCATGGGTCTTACATCTCTTGGTGTGAGGAAATAATAAACAATTAAGTACAAATATAGTACCTTGAATAGTGACAAGTGTTATGAGAAAAATGAGGGCATGGGGGTAAGGTGTGTTGTGGGTGGTTAGGAGTAGATTGTAGTTTTATATGTGGTGATTAAGGAAGGCTGTTCTACACATGTGCTTTACCAAATGCAGTGAAGTGAGCAACCATGGGGCTATCTGGGTTAGAAGTGGTATGGTTATAAGGAGAGCAAGTACAAAGGCCCTGAGGTAGGGTCTTGCCTGGTATGTTAAGAGACCAGAATGGTTAGAAGGCTAGAGAAATAAGAGTGCGGGAGAGAGAGAAACAGAGGCTGAGTAGCAGGTGGGTCAGTGACAAATACTGTAGGATTTTGTAGGTCATTGTAAATGCAAACGTTGGCTTCTACTCTGCATAAAAGGAGAAACCAGTAGAAGGTTTTATCAGAGAATGACATGAAAATTTTAACAGGTATGTGCGTATCCTTGACAAATAGGCAGCACTCTTTGGCTGTTTTATAAATGTGTATAAATGTAACTGTGCTGTATACCTCATCTTCTACTTTTGCTACTTGTTTCTGAAATCTACCCATGTTGTTATCTTTAATATACTTTTTAATTCTGACTGCTGTGTAATATTTCATTGTGTACATGTGGCACATTTTACCTGTACATTTCTCTAGTAACAGAGGTTGGCATAGCTCCAAACTCAGAAACAGTCCTGTGATGAACTCTCTCAGCTGAGCCTCCTTATAGACTCAGGAGAGAGTTTCTCTGGGGTGTTTACCTCAGTGAGGGATTGCAAGGTGGGAGGGAGTATGCATTATTAATTCCACTAAGATTTTGCTTCAGGATCATGACCCCAGTTACAGTGTCACCAGCAGTGAGTGATATTTTGTATCTTCTCATCAAATTCTTATGTTTATCCTATAAGGCAAATGAAGTAGGTAAGTTTCCTTGTGGGTGATAAAACCTTAGAGACATCAAGCAAATAACCGTGGTTTATATAGTGAGGTGGAAGATCCAAGACTCAAATCCAAAATTTCAGACATAATGGTAGTTGCTCTTAGCACAGTACCCAGCACTGCCCCTTCTATGAATGAGACATCCATAGTCAAAAATATTGATGATGATGATGATGATAATGATGATGATGATGATGTTTGAGGTTTGCATTAACAATTTTTTTAATGTTTATTTGTTTTTGAGAGAGACAGACAGCATAAGCAGGGAGGGGCAGAGAGAGAGGGAGACACAGAATACGAAGCAGGCTCCGGGCTCTGAGCTGTCAGCACAGAGCCCAACATGGGGCTTGAACCCACGAAGTGTGAGATTGTGACCTGAGCCACCCAGGTGTCCTGAGGCTTGAATTTTTTTCATTACTGGACTAACCCAGTAAGCCTAGGACCTCCAAGTGTTTAGCACCATGTAGGAAGGTGTCTAATTAGGGTACTTAGCATTTCAAGACAAAATATGTGGAATAAGCTGTTTCACTATCTCATGAGGGTGAGCTAACAGGTTCAAATTTTTGTGGATGATTTTGGGGCTAGAAATTTATAAAGACTAATTGATTTTCAAAGTTTGGGGATTTGGATCAGATGTCAATATTAAACACTAGGTAGATTATATTAATTACATATTGTTTGGTAGGCACTGAGCTAACTACTTTATAGGCATCATTTATCTTAAACCTCACAATTACCCTATGAGTACTTTTACTCTCATTTGACTGTTATTGAAACTAAAGCACCAAGAAGTTGACTATTTGTACAGAGTACCTAGTCTAAGGTTGAGTTGTATTTGAACCTGAACTGTGTACCTGCATAGCCTCCTTACTCCTAACTACTAAACTGTGCTGCTTTCCTGTGAAAGAAGCTTTTATAATCTCTTCTTTTTGAAATTGAGGACAATTTCTTGTCATTTGGGGTGATTTAGAGTAGCCATGGGAAGGACAGAGCTAATGGATAAGAATCTCCAGAAGGGCAGGGTATGAAGTATGAAAATGTTTCTGAGTGTCTTCATTATCCCTCTCTCTGTTTCCTGAAATGTGAACCTCTGACTTAGGACATCCCACCTATATTATAGGGCCTGAGCATGATGCCTTCAAAAAATTTGGCAATTCTTTGCCACCCTGTGTGGCTTATACCTGCCATGAATGACGTGAGGTCAAGGGTTCATCAGTTTGTTTTTCCTTCACACTTTCATTCTGCTTGTCTTCTACAAGGAAGGCAATACCATTTATATCTTTACCTAGATCCGTATTATAAATATTGTTTGGCTAAAAAGCATGTATCTCAAAGTCAATTAGATAGAAATTCTGGATTATGTTCTCTTTCAGGTTTCTATTCTCAGTGTGTGTATTTGTTAAACAAGTTTTTGTTGAGCATTAATTGAGCATCTAACTCACACTTTGATTAGGACACAGGCAGCTGAGCAGGAATTGTGACACATTAGGATAAATGGCACATGGGGTAAGCTGGGTGGTATGAGAACACATAGGAAGGGCAGCATGAGGGTCAGGGAAGGCTCCTGAAAAGCAACTTTTGAGCTGGGAACTGAAGAGAAGTAGGGGGTAGCTAAGTGAAGGGACAAGAGAGTATTAGAGACAGGTAACAGGGTGAACATGGAATTTCTCAGCTGGAGCAGCAGCTGGACAAGGTGTGAGGCTTGAGGAACCAGCACAGGTCAGATGATGAAGGAAGGAAGGACTAGGAAGGAAGGGCAGTGGGAAGCACTGAAGGGTTTGAAGCCTGGGGGTCGGTGTGGGACATATCAGTGACATTTACAGTGTAGCAAGATTCCATGAGTTAAGTATTGACTCTGTCTATGTTATGTGCTTATTAGTAAATCATAACCTTGAAACTGGTTGCCACTGGTGGGTGGTAAATAAGGAGTCTAGATGGATTTGTACAAGAAGCTTTGACCCATAGCATTAGGATTCCTTTTGATAATCTGTAGAGAAGACTTTTCAATTTTGACTTGACCTTTCTGTCTTTAAAAACCACTGACGACATTTCCTAAAATTCTCTCAAAATCAAAGCCTGAATAGTAGGAGAGTGAAGGCTGTTTTCTCTGTTCTTCACTACTCATTTCTGGGGCATTGCTGTGAATTGTTCACCAAAGCCTTGTTCCACTCGAGGAGGGGTCCATTTGAATAGGAGCAGCAGAGGAGGAGGAAGGAGGAACCACATGTAGGGTAGTGTTTCTTCATTAAGAAAATATCTTTGGCATATTGAGACCATGATTTGAGTGAGTGGAAAATAACTACCATGGAAAGTTAATAGGGAATTACAAGTCTGTGTTTTAATATAATCTCACAGAGTAGGGCATGGTTTCAGATGGCTGGCAGTTGACATCACAGATGATGCAGGGTGTTTATAGAGCACAGTGTGGCCAGTGAGGAGACTGTCTGCAGAAGTGAGTTCTCCTTGTGTCCTGGAACCCAGACAGGGAGGATACAGAAGGAATTGTTTTGGTTGTAAGCTACTGAGCTAGGTGACCTACTTCTTTCCTTCCTCCCTATCACACTCTCACAATTGTGGATGCAAAAATTGTATTAAGTTTTGCCTGGTTACTTTGGGTGAGGTTAACTGAATGCTCAGAATTCACAAAATGGCCTTTCTGGCTCCTCTCCCTTAGTAATGGACACTTGGTTGGCTTATGCACCTATTTCTCTGGTATTTCCTCACCAGGCAGCCTGGTTTCTCTAGTTCTTACAGGTAGTTATGAAGGCCCTGCCTCTTTCTCTACCTCTCTTCTCACAGCGCCCCCTGTGGGCCTGTATGGGTAAAAGAAAAGGTTGGACTGTACATTCTTTGCCACCAGTACAGCTAAATGGATGATGTCGGAAGAGGAGAAAGGGGGGCATCTGACCATGGGAGCTGATTTGGAGCTAAAGAATTTTAAGACTCTGGGACCAATATTTGTACTTTAAACTCAGAATATATGTATGAAATGGTTCTGTAACTGCAACAAGGTCCTCTAGTTCATGAATTAACGTGTCATAACTTATGCTCAAGCACCACACAAACATCCCATGTGTGAATTATTGCATAATAAATTCATGCCATGTTGTGTCCTACAGCTTAATTAGTACATGAAGCTACATGAGTTAGATGAACCCACATGAGATTTTGTCATGTAATGTGTAAAAAGGAGAATGTTGGGTGATATTTGACACTTTTCTCAGGGGAAAGCAGGGTTGAGTTTTTTTAGTAATCTTTTGGTTTCAGTCTCTGATACTCGAGCTGCAACAGGTGACATGGGACTTCTGGGCTTTGGTTAGCTGGTTGAAGACTGTTGTTCGGTAAATATTTATTGTTTATTTAGGCATTGTGAATAGCTATCACATACCAGAAAATACAAAGCAGCAGCTTTGAAGCCTGAGTAATGGACCTCGGCAGCCCCAACTCAACTTGGCTTAACTCAGACTCACCAAACCTGATCCCAGACTCTGCTCCCTGGGCTTGCTACAGCTCTCTGATCCTGGAATCCTCTTCAGTTCCAGCTAGGATGCTGTGTCAGGCACTCCATAGATTTGGTCAAAAACTGGTACGCGGACCTACGCTGAAGGAACCGGTGGCTGAGAATGACCCACGGAGAAGCCTGAACACTCTGGATTTAGTGGCCCTGGGTGTGGGCCACACACTGGGTGTAGGTGTGTTTGTACTGGCTTGTGAGGTGGTCAGAAATCAAGCAGGGTCATCTTTTGTGATTTGTGTTTTGGTGGCCAGCCTATTTTCTATGTTGATTGGGCTGTACTATGCAGAGATTAGTGCCCGGGTTCCCCATTCTGGCTTGGCATATATCTACAGTCATGTCATTATAGGTGAGCTCTGGGCTTTCATCACTGGCTGGAACCTCCTCCTCTCCATTGGTGCTAATGCAGTCATTTTTTTTCCACATATTCTTCTTAGCTTTTGAGCACCTGCGTGTGACCCTGCATGGAATTATCTTACCACATGTTTCCCACCTTCTAGAAGACAATCTAGACTTCATTGTTATGTTTCTTCTGTGGTATCTCACAGAGTTGTGGTATATTTGCATTTCCTCAGTTATCAAAATGTTCACATTGGTGAAAATTTTGGTTCTAAGCTTTGTCATCATCTCTGGCTTCATTAAAGGGCACCTGTACAACTGGAAGCTCACAGAAGAGGACTATGCAATGGCTGGCCTCAATGACACCTCCAGCTTGGGCCCTCTGGGCTCTGGGGGGTTTGTGTCTTTTGGCTTTGAGGGGATTCTCCGTGGAGCAGCTACATGTTTCTATGTATTTATAGGTTTTGAGGAAATTGTTACTAGACTTGGAGAAGCCCAGAACCCCCAACATTCCATCCCCAGGGGCATTGTGATTTCACTGTTCATCTGCTTTGTGCTGTATTTTGGTGTCTCTTTAGCACTTACACTTATGGTGCCTTACTACAAGCTTAAACCTGGGAACATCTTGCCTGAGGCATTTCTCCTTATAGGCTGGGCCCCTGCCTACTATGTGGTAGTGTTTGTATTTTTTTTTTTTTTTTTTTTTTTTTTTTTTTTTTTTTTTTTTTTTTT